GACAGAAAAAAAAACACACAGAAACTTCAGCTTCAACATCAACTTCGACTGAAACTGAAACAGAAACAAAAACCTAACAAAGGCAAACGGCAAACAGATCGAGCTGCGAGGAAATATTGTCAGGCAACACTTTTAACCCTGTTGCTGTAGGTGTATCTTTCCTATCCGTATCTGTGTTCACATCTGCAGTTACACTCGGAGAAATAAAGCGAAATTAGATGGGAGTTACATGATTAGAAAATATATATTTGATATTTCCAAATTAAGAACGAATTTTTGTCTGGATTGCAAAAGGATTATAAAGTTTTATTTCAGGATTTTCATATCAAACAACAATTACTTTTCTCCATGTATCTGTATCCGTATCTGTATCTGCAGCTTGTACTCTAGCTTTTCTCGGGAGAGATTTGTAGCTGGGACACCTGCAGCATTTGAGGGCCGTTTGTTGCTGTGGCAGAGAAAGACTTTTTTATGCTAAATACCATCGCAGTTTATATTGATGATGCTCCGATCCGAAACACAATGCCACATAGCCTGGATGCAACCGCCCCTCCCCAGGTACACAAATACACCTATATGCATGTGCTAAGTATATCTCGGTCTCCCGGTAGAAACAACAAAATGTGTGACAAAACACCACAAGGAATTTTAATCCCAAAATGATTGATAATCATTTGCACGAGCGGAGTTGAGCGCAGAGAGAAAAAGCTTTATCACGTTCCATTTGCCTAGGTGTAAAGTCCATGGGGTATTATCAGCACCGCCCAACGACGTCGTCTTCATCAGCATCTTAGCATCTTAGCATCTCCATTTCCATTTCCATTCCTCTCCAGCATCATCATCATCGTCGTGGCTGGGCTTTGTTTGCTGCTAATGTTTGCACTTAATTCACCAGACAATGCGACACGGGAGTGCCGGTGGTAGGGGCATTTTCTTTCGGCCTTTTCTTGGAGGGGGGGAAAACTAGGTGAGGAGCGGAGAGGTGGGCTGATTGTGCCTGCCAGGGCGAAAAGTCTAAATTATGTCGTTGCCGCCTGACTGTTGCATAGGGAAAATGCATCATTTTGTGAGCTTAAGAGAAGACGTTGAGCTTTTTGTGAATGGGCAAGCAAGGCACTGAGAAAAATAAGTGATCTATATGAAAATAGAAGCTTAATTTTATATTAAATATAAGATTATAAATAGATTTTAAAGCTTTTTTATTGCTCAGCATAACCAGTCTCTGGTCCCTGGTTAACCCGACTACTGTTTTCCATTTTCCATTCAGCAAGTGTTTTATTTCCATACCAAATCTTTTGTTTGCTGCTAACACCTTTTCTGGGAGCCGGGTAATTTCCAACACCTTAAACTGAATTGAACCTGTGGCACAGTTCCCTTAAGGATGAGTTGAAAATGTGACAAAAGCTGATTTAAGTCATAATTTATCATGAAACGCTGGATTAGTTGCGATCAATTTTACAACAGTTTATTTTTAACACGTTGCGTATACGCAACGCCGGTGACAATGACAATGCCAGCCAGCCAGCCAGCCAGCCAGCCAGCCAGCAGGTTGTAGCCAAGTCCCAGGGACTAATGTTTAAATTTATTAACCATCAAATGGTGTGTGTGCATTGTGTGTGCTGCTGCTGCTGTGCCTACTGCATTAGTTTGTGCCACTTTCGAATTGGTAACTGCTGGGAAACGGGGATTATGACACCGAGGCGGGGATACTCTGCCGGAAGATAAGTGATTTGCTAGGAAATAATAACGATTTTTTAAGCTTTTGGTTACCTTATTCATCAATTCAGTTTTTATTCCAAAATAAGATAAACTATGGTTATAAAAAGCCTTTGGTTTTCCGTTCTAAAAATTATCTATGCTTCTTATTTATGAAAGAAATTCTTTTTGAACTAATCTGAGATGGTAAAATATATAAATACTCTAGAGCCGAGACGAATTCATGAGTATCTCGTGCCGTTTTGGGAACCATCGGCACTTTTCGCGTCCGAAAAAGAGGACGTCTTGGCCTACAGCACGCCTTTTCGACAAATCAACCACGCCCAAAAGCCAAGGCAACGGCAACAAAGTTGGCTCTCGCTTAAGTGTTTGTAATTGTTATTGCACAAAACTTGTTCTTTCACTTTGGCCTGCAAGCGCGAACTTCATGGCTACACCTACCCAGGAACTCAGCCGGCGGATGATGATGATCATCTCCGCGAGCCCGAGCTGGTACCTGGTTCTAGCTGTAAATAAAGTTTTGGCAATGCAGCCGCGCCCCCAGAGAAAAGACCACCTAATGAAAAGCGGCCGATGGCCCAAACTTTTCAGCTTTTCAGCTGGGTGCAGTGTGTGTGTGTGTGTCGATTTCGATATTAAGAAATTACAAGCAAAGGCTGCTTGCCCCACGCATTATGCGGAAATTAATTTGCGCGTTCGGCAAATTTAATTCAATTTTTTAACAGCTCCGGACGCTGCAACACGACCAACACGCCCCGAAACGAAAGTTGACCCACTCGTGGAATCTTTGGGCTTGGCTTTGCACTAAAAGAAACAATTTTAAGAATAATTAAATACTAAGAGAAAAGTTATGACATGTAAAGGCAAACTTAAATGGTTTATATTCTATATTCTACTTACTTTTAAGTTTAGAATAATTCAGTTTTAAATTTTACTTTCTTTATAGATTAAGCTTCATGGCCACTCTTTTTTGAGTGTGTTCCTGGTCCTAAATCGCCAAGAGTACGAATTAAGACATAATAAAGCTGTCCTGCGGTCGAGGCCTCTTTCTGGCCCCATCCGTCAAGATCGGGGCGTGTAATTCACTTCGGACTCTGGAGCTTCGAGCGAACACCTTCGCCTTTGCCCATCGACTGACGAGACCCGACTTGACAAGACATTTTTGGCTTAAACGCTCTTTTTGGGGGGTAATTTTTTGGCAGAGGCAGTGGAGGTCTTTGCACTCGCTTCCAGTATATCGAAGCCCGCAGTGAGTGGCTGTGGTGGCCGCTTGACAAACGAGTGTCATTTATCAAAATGTGACACTATTTGCGCCAAGTCATGTGTTAACTGCACTTTATTTTATTGTTATACCCCGTGTGGGTTGGCCCTCAAGGAGGTGGAACAACGATATCCTCCGACACAAAGGCTCCCTCGCAGTTGGTTCCTCAAGTGCTCTCATAAAATATATATCATAATTGAGGGTTATACTCTGCCGGTTGTTTTCCTTTCGCCTTTTTTTTTTTTTGGGGACTAAGCCAAGAAGTATAGCGTTGGAATTGGCCACCAGGATGAGGAATGGCCAGATTGAGATATGAGATGAGCATGTGAGTGAGAAAAGTGCTGAGGGCCATGTGGCTCTTCTCTGATTCCCAAAACTGATTTTGGGATAAAGATTTTTCATAAATTTATGTACCGTTTTGCAGGACATGTGATTTCCGAATCCCTAAACATATTAATCAAAGTTGTCCCGGGAAAGTTACACAGTGTTTGACTGACAAATTGAGTTCTGTCAACTTTAAGTGGGTTAAAAGTATCTCAAACTTGCATATCGATGGAAAAAGATACTCTATAGTTATAAAACTCTATCAATACAATATTCTACGCATATTTTCATATTATTTTCTTATTTATAACCAAAAAAAAACCTTTCCAAATACCTGAATACATCAAAAAGCACCTCGGTGGTATCAAAAGTAATTGAGGAATTTTCGGGGCTTTATCCTCTGCCTAAAAGAAGTAATTTTTTCCTTTCCAATTTGTGCTTTTTTGGGCGCGTCCGGCATTTAATGCCAATACTATAAACATTATCATTATGCGGCCCGTACAAGAGCGCAGTTATACATTTTGCGCGTCCGCCGCTCTTAAATGTTGTTTTTACCAAAAACTAAGAAAAAATCATGGAAAAAAAGGCGCAACGCAGCGAAGAGAAACCCAAAAACCAAAGGCCGAAAAGTAATTTCTTGCACGACATTAATTTCTTTTAAATTACGCATAATTGAAGTACGGGCACTCGAATTTGATCGATGGCCGAATCGAGTCCCGGAGTGCTCCGAGTGCTGTGATCGAAACTCGTTTCCCGCCGCACCTCCTCGTTGTGATCGGAGAGAAATTACAAAAATATTGCTCTGCCATAATAATTTAATTTCATTTTTTTCCCTCTTCTTTGGCTGTGCGTTTTTTTTACCATACGAGAAGGCCGGGTTCTTGGGAGAAGCAGGTCGGCAGCGACATTGACATTCGAATTAGACACCTGACAGCAGAATATCAAAGTCACTCGACGACGACGACGACTTCGTCTGCTGCCCATTGAAGCCTTGGATTTGAAATTCGATTTAATTTCTATTCAGTGTGTGCCGAGTCTTTGTGCTCGTGGGCTGACCTGTCAGTCAGTATGAAATTTCATATTGTTAGGGGTATTTAGTTTATATTTGGGCCTGCTTTGGGCCGGCTTTGTTGGCGCGATAAGCGGATTTTTTATTACATCAGTTTAGTGTCACATTAGCGATGTGTCAGGCGGCTTTGCGGGGGCCACAGATTTGTCTATCCCATACCCCTTCGATTTTGGGTCTTACGATATATTTTATAGCTCTTCCGCCTTAACAATCCCGATCCTGATCTTCATCTGCATCTGGACTCTGCCTGCAGCTCTTTGCCACAGAGACACATAAAATCTTTCAGCGAAACTTATGAATTTCTTAATTTTTTTCCGCGCAGAAGGAGTTGCCCTGATCTTTTTTATGGCATTTCGCTTGGCCGAGCGATGCTATCAGTTGGTTTTTGTTTCAGGTTTCGGTTCGGTCTTTAAAATGTCTCGAATGCGATTCCAGTGGTCGATTCACCGCATGAATCATAAGCCAGTTAAAAGCGAATTCCTAAATGTTTGCTTACCTTACTTACCCGGCAGGCTCAGCGTATTTGGCCTGGCACTTGTAACCTAATTTAATTTCGCGAAAACAATAATTATCAGCACGAGAAATCGGCTTTTGTTTATAACTATATATCTTACCTTTAGTTGTCACAATTTTAGTAAATAAATTATATTTTGATCATGGAGGGGGGTTGCTGTAACCTGCGTATGAATTGTATTATAGGTGGTTTCTGGTTGATGTTGTATTACACCGCCCTGGCATTTCTTATGTTGTACGAAATCGATAACAGTGTTCAGGTGAAGTATATAGATAGTAGAGGAAAATCCAGTTACAGGAAGAATGCTACGGGCTTCTGGGTGCTGGGAGTATGCTTTTTATCAATGACCTTAGTTTCCTTGTCGCTGATCTTGGGCACCCTTATGGTAGCTATATATTCAACTACAAATGAACAAAATATATAACACCTTCTCCTTAGAGGCACTGTGCGTTTATTATCGTATTTCTATTCTCCCAGATCATTCCGGTGTCTGTGGAACTCTTCTACTTACTGATAGCCCTTATGTATGGCATTGAAACTGAGTTTGTTTTCATATACCTCCTGCCCTTTTGTAAGTATATATTTTATATAATTTCTTGACTTAAACTAACTGAAGAATATATTATTAGTGTATCTCATCTACATCGATGTGGTGTCATATTTTTATTTGTCTGAATTGAGAAGGTTGCAGGATCAAAAAACATCGATAATAGATATTGAATATTAAGGTTTTCCTTAACTAATTTATTTATTTATACATTTTAAAAGACTAAAATCACATACCACTTTTTCCGGTAGAACTCACAGCCGCAGCGATAAGGTTGGTTGACTTGAGAGCAGGGAAACATGTCAAGAAATAAAAACAAAAATGATTTATCATAATGGGAGTTGGACCCGGAGACGGGGCCCGAATTGGAATTGGAATGGGAGTTGGACTGGAGAGCCTGAACTCCCAGCGGCGTTGCCTAAATGGGCGATAACGGCCAAAAAGATCAAGACCAAGAGCACAAGACCAGGGCGACGGCTGATGACGACGAGCGCAGAGATATCGGGCCAGAACGGCGGTGCGTCTGGGGATGTCAACTCTTCATATAAAAATTAACGAAATATAAATTAAAAAATATGCCCAACCTCTGCCAGTCTCTGGGCGATGAAATAAAAACCAGAAATCTCGTTCTTGCTCCCCTGCCTCCCGCTGGCGATTTACGAGCATGGCCTGAGTATGTCCCTTCTGGTTTCGAGTTACGCCTGCGCGACAATGTTGCCTTCCAATAAAAAAACGGAGGGAAAAAAGAGAAAAATAAAGAATTTTTCTGAATTATGAATTGGCCCCTTTATCGAGGGAATGCATCGCCGCGTTTAAGGCTTTATCTATGGCTCGCTGCGTTTTTATCTAATGGAGGCAGCTTCTACCCATTGATTGGTTCCCATTTGGGGCTCCGGTTTCAGGTCTGACTTATGACAGGGTCGTATCCTCGGCCTGATAGCTTCATAAGCCTCGATAAAGTCGAATTCGAGAGCGCTAATTGCTAGCAAAAGTCCAGGCGCCAGCGGAACCAAGGGATTGGTCCGAAGGCGCGGCTCAGGTGCCGGTGCGGTGCGGTGCCATATCACCTGCGTGTTATCGCCAGACAAATGCATTTTGCAAATTATTAACATATGTGCCGGCTGTTACACGACCGGGCCAACACCAACCAGCAGCAGCCGCGGCAGCTACAAGCATGTGCAGATACAGATACATTTGTATCTGACGCCAGAGTGTAGGAAGCCGGCTCGGGACTTCGCTGGCTGCTGTGGCCGCGGCTAATTGATGTCTGTGCACAAAACTTGATTTATTTCTATTAATAAAGCCCCCATGCAAACGGCGCAAGTATCGACGGTTCGGTCAGATACAGATACATTTTCGGCTGCCTTATTTGGATGCCCGAACGGGGACCCGGTGGAAAATGGAAAAGCCGGCAAATACAATTAAATAAATGGACTTAAGCAAACTATAACTACTAAGATGAACCTATTAAATAAATAAATAAAATATTTAAAAATTGAAAAACCAATTTCTGTTGCTTGCCTTGGTTCAGTGAACATTTCCAATTGGGTCTAAAGAAGCCGCGCCAATAAATTGCTTGTTTAGCCACAATTACACACATGAACAGCCGCCGAAAATGGCTTAAAAGTAATCTAGCTAAACTTGTTGCCGCTGTTGTTGCCGATGGAAATCGCAAAAAAACTTGGTTGCATAAATTTTAACACCGATTTTAATCGAGCGAGCTGTATTGTCGAGGCGGCATATAGACAACTCATTGGTTACCGCCAATATTCCGATATTCCCATATTCCGGCCAAGCCCCAACACTTTATGGCCAGCTTTTTAGGCGGTAATTACCCGGCCGGCAGCAGTTCCGGTGTCTCGCTCTCGGTTTGCCGGCGATGCAAACTATAATTTTGTTATAAATTATTGATGTGTCAAATCAAATTCTCGGCCCGATTTCAGTGCCCCAAAGTTGAGCGCAAGATTTATGGCCTGCAATTTGAGTTGTTACATTTGATAGAGAGAGAGATTTTGAAATGTGGTAGGTGGTCATTGGGGGTTAACATGGTTCGTAAATATAATTTAATGGGAATACCTCATCAGATATATTTTATATATGACTTACGTTGGCTTTATTCCCCTATAATTTGGTAGGGAAGCTAGCTTGTGGAATAACTATCAGTGTAAAAGGGAATAATACAATTTAAAGTGGAATTTAAACTAAGAGTAAATAAGCTTAAGAAGTGTAAAGTAAAGGTTAATTAAATTAACTTTTAAATTGTTCATTTCTGTTTCAATACTCCTCCAACGAACCTCGCGGGCCAGACACCACATATTTCCAGATGAGGAAAGACTTGGGGCTCCGGCAAGACCGATTACGAGAGTACGGCGTCTGGGGCCGGCGGACATGTACAACACTTTGCTCAACAAGGCGATACGGAAAATACGCAGCGCTTTTCCCTGTTTCGCGGGCATGCAATTTTCGGCCGAGTTACCGCATGTTTTTCGTCTGAGCGCCTTTTATTTCGCTTTGGCCGAGTGTATTTCCCACTTCCCCGTTGACATAACTGGAGCGCTTTCGGGGCCCAAGAGCCAGCCGGGCGTATGCAAAGCTCTCAACCTGATTTGGCAGTTCCGCGACTCTTGGGCTAACAAAATGCTGCCGCTTGCTGCTTGTCTCGGCCATTTGCATTTCGATCTTTGGCGGCTAACTGGCCCAAAACAAATCCTATCGTAATAAAAGTTTCGCTGCAAAATTACAAGCACCTGGAAGGCGGGGGAGGACATGTGGATGCGGACTTGGACATGGACATGGGCGCTGTGTGTACCAGAAGGCACTGCCAATCCACAGTTGAACCACATTAGAGTTGGACTTTCACTTTTCGGCCGCATAAATGGCCATTTGGGCATTTTAGCCGCCCGACTGCGCTTTAAATTTATGTTGATTGGCCGACTTGGCTTTTTGGTTAAATGTTGTTAAATTGTTTTCCGCCGAAATGACATGTTTTGACAAATGGGGCGGCTGCCCAAATAGGATTATGCCATTAAGCAGCCCAGTACTTGTTGATTTCTCATTTAAATTCTGACAGAAATTCTTTTTAAACAGATAGAAAAATTAATCAAAACTTTATATAGCAAATTTATGATAATCTAGATTCAAGGAAGTATTAAAAAATGCTTTAAATTTAACAAACATATATATTTATAATTTCCAATGAAATATCATTAAATTGCCTAGCAAATCCTTACATATTTCCCTCTGTGCAGCATACCTACTTCTCGGAATACTTCGGTAATAAATCCGGGGATAAAGTTTCGGTTTTTTATGCATCCCTTTGGGTCATAAAACATCGGGAGCCTTTCGAATCCTTTGACAATGCCGAGAGCCGAGAGAAGCGTCCCACAAATAAATACTAATAAACTATAGGGAGCCGGACACGAGAGTTTGGTGATTGGCCTGTTAGGCCATCCTTCCTTTCGCGTACTACATAAATTTCAATATTTATGGCGAAATTTTTTCCCCTGTCGCAACAGCAACACATGGCCAAGATAAACATCCAGCGGCCGAAAAAAAAAGAGGCAAGAAAAAAACAAAAGGCATAAGGGAAAACGGCAGCCGGAATTGCGATTCGGATTTGTGGGCGTTTGACAAGCAGCCCGCCGCCGCCGATGGGCGTAACCCAAATAGAGGCGTTGACGCTTGGCGACCGTTTGCCCTGTTCCCGTCCAGCGAGTATCTGGCTTCTGGGTAACCCGGGCATCGGATGGGATCGTGGAAGGGAAACCAGAGCAGCAGCATCGTCGTAAATCGCTGCGACATAAATTCAGTGCACTTTTTGACTTTGTGCCTGCCTCCGAGGAGGATTCGGCATACCGCTCGCCTACCTGGCGCACCTGACACAAATTTTCCCAGCTCCTGCCGCTGGTTTTTCGCGCTAATCTCTGTAAACAAATCACTGACGTCCTGCCATGTCCTTGGGGACGTGTTGGTTTAATTGCTGCCAGACGTCGCAATTTATGAGCATCAATAAAGTGTCAACTTTTGTGTGTGTGCGCTGCTCTTGAGCGAGAACTCTCCCTCTGTCAAAGCGAAAAACGGGCAGAATAAATGCTCTTCTGGCTGTAAATCATCTTGGCGCGACTTTCCAGGAAACTAGCAGTCCCTCTCTCACTCCCTGGGAATCCGCAATACGGATTCCAGAAGCCAGTATCCAGAATATCCGATGGTTAACTCGGCCGAGACACGCTAGCCGAGCCAAGACCAAGAGTTGCAGGCCAGTTTTGGCATTTGCATTTCAATTGAAGCGAGTAATTAATGTATCGCATATCTGTAGAATTTTAATTGCCAAGTCAATGCACTGCTCCTCGCCCAGAGCCCACAGAGAGATCAGATGCTCCATCGGGCCCCGCCGTACACTGGCCAAGAGCGGAGCACGAACCTTTGTTTCGGCCCAATGCCACTGGGTACACGGTTATATAGTTCAAGGGGTTTTATTGGCATTAAAATATTTTTAAATATCCAATTAAATATCAAAATAGTTGAAGAATTATAAGGTATATTGCTAAAATTTATATAGGTATATAAGCATCCATCAAACAGAAAAAAATATGGCTCCTAAAAATATTTAAAAATTATTTTATAGCTTACAAAACATCTGCTGATATTTTGATTAATATAAATGTGTTCCAACCTTTTTCCTCAGTGCTGTGGCGTTGCAGAAATTCCGGACTGTAAGAGTCGCGCGTGTGGCCCCGTCACGTACCGCTCTGCTAAGCCTTGAAATGCCAGCTGCCGCACAGAAGACTGTCGACAATTAAAATATGAAAGGGTTTCGGGCTGCTCCTACCCAGACAGCCTTCCAGCTTTATTCTTGTCCAGTAATCTAACATAACCGCAGAGCCAGACCCCGTCGAACTGGCCGAAATACTCGTCATAAATAGCGTGGTGGCCAAAGCCCCCTCGATTTTCCAACTGCATTGCATACATTTTTGTGAAAAGCAAGGCTACGCGACGGGGTAAAAATGGGAATTGGAAAACAAACGCTGCCAGAGTTGCTGCACGTGATGATTGCATCATTGTGTCAGCTTAGTACGTGCTCTGCTACGGTCTTGTCACATAAAAAAAATGACACACAGTTCCCGGTTACATGGAGTTCTATTGGCTTTATCCATCCAAAAACCAACCTATTCCCCCCTTCTGGGCATTAGAAACCAAAGCGAACTGTATGTGATTTCTGCATTTTGACCAGATGTTTGGCAAAAATTTGTAAAAAACAAATAAAATAACAAGAAGAGAATTGAAAACTACATGTTTATCCAACACGTGGTGAGGTCTATTCCTGGGATGGAGATTGCCGGGGACAATGGACATGACACTTGCGACTGGGGAAGGCCAGACAAAGGGAATATAATCGGATATTAGAGGATTTGTGGGTTAATTTGCAGGGGAAGTGGCTTAGAGTTTTACAAAACCATTTGTCATAGAGAAGGGAAATAATACAAGAATAGGATAATGAGAGCTGAAACCTCAACTGAGCTGTTGAAATTTCATTTATTTCCTATTTGGGTTTAAATTTGGTTTTAATATATCTTAAAGGTTTTTTACTGCCTAGATTTTAATAAAATTTAAATAAAGAAACAAACGCTGAATACCCTCCAACGTTCTACCATTGCCGCCTCTATGTCTGGTCTTTCGTAAACTGTGACTCATAGGCCTTAACCCA